TATTTTGCACAGAACCATCATGTACATAAGCAGCATATGTGAGCAAATAAAAATGCGGCATAATATGATAACTTTTAGCATAAAAATAGCATAATTCGGGAATTTTTTCAGCAATGCGAAAAGCATAATTTCACGAAAATATTAGCATAATCCGTCAAGGCCTAGATTGTGTGGATGCATGCGAACTAGACTCGTTCTAGAACTCTTCCAACTTCCGTTGCAATCTTCTCGATATCTCTGTTATATTATCTGGTGTGTTGTATCCTGTGTCTTCTCTATGTCTGGACATAAGCATCCATTATTATTACATCCCTCTTGTAGTAATTTTCATAGTCTGGGTGCCGACAAGCCCTTCAATTTCTCTCCCCTCTTTCTTTCCTCTTTTACCGTCTTTCATCCCTCAAGCATTACCTACTCGTAAGTTTTGGAGAGTCTCTACGTGGAATCTTCGTTTTTTTTCGTCTAGTTTATAGTGAAACTTGCTCGGTCGATGTTTGTGCTGTTTTAGAAAACTAACGTTAAAATGATTGTTGACGAATGCACCTAGTTTCTGTAGCTCGGTGATGGAGCACGGTTTTGCTTTCACTACCCACAGACCACACGGGACACGGTGGACTGGGCATGGCTATTGGCCCTCGTCTACTGACACACTTGCCGCGAGAGACAGAGAGACAGCGAGAGAGAGAGAGAGAGAGAAAGAGAGAGAGAGAGAGAGAGAGAGAGAGAGAGAGAGAGAGAGAGAGAGAGATAGAGAGAGAGATAGAGAGAGAGAGAGAGAGAAAGAGAGAGAAAGAACTTCGGTTGTTGGATAGGAGTGTGCCAGGCTATGACTCACTACTAAGTCTTACCGGTAAGAAAACAGTATACGTTCTCATGGGAAGCGATTTCAAATCAGTCTAACTTGTCACCCTTACTGGTCGCACACTTGGCATGAACAGTGAGAATCTCCAGTCAGGTCGGATCACGTATACTTGCAACATCAGCTGTGCAATTGCCACACCACATGCTCAAAATCGCCTTGCCTTCCACCGTACTGCGGGTTGTACTCCCATCCGCTAAGGGCCCGTCATTCCCCACTCTCCGCGGCACACCCCAAGGTGACTCGTTGTCTCCTGTTATTTTCATTGTGTACCTTGAGGGTGCGCTTCGTGATGTCCGGCCTCTTCTTCTACCACGTCCCCCTGCCGATATCTCCCTGGGGTTACCAACTGAAACTGCCTACGCCGACGATGTGGATTTCGTGACTACTGATGGTGAGAGGCTGAGGACCCTCCTTCCAACCATATCCAACAAGCTCCTCGAATGGGATTTGAAAGTGAATGAGACCAAAACAGAGCACACGCACATCGAAAGGCACACTGATCGCATCGAGGAGGAGTGGCGAACCACCAAGAAACTCGGGTCCCTATTAGGTGATGCCGAGGATATGCTACGGCGACAGCAACTGGCAACTGTTGCCTTTGGTAAACTCTGGACGCTGTGGATCCGTAGGTCGCTAGTTTCGGAGGATCTCCGCATCCGGCTCTATAATGCCTTTGTACTCCCTGTACTCTGCTACAATTGTGCAACATGGGCACCAACGAAACAGCAGCTGAGCCGTATTGAGGCCTTCCACCGAAAACAGCTGCGGGCGCTAATCGGCATTGTGTTCCCGAATCGGATTAGGAACGAGAGGCTCTATGAGCGTACCGGCGCGGTTCCTCTCGGCATTATCATCTTGAGAGCTAGGTGGAGGCTCTTTGGGCATGTCCTCCGGCTCCCGGCTGACTCCCCACCATCACTGGCCATAGGAGCGTACTTCGCAGAGCCTCGTCCAGCGGGCTGGAGGGGACGACTAAGACACACACTACCAACGCTACTACAAGATGATGCCAAGCGGATTGGACTTTCCTTGTCAAGCAAAGTCGATCTGGAGGCGTTCCGTGCTCTTGCTGCTGACCGAAGCGGTTGGGTGGGCATCTGTGCCCGAGTGGTGTCAGCACCCCAGTTTTTGTCTTCTTTTCGCATATTTCTTCTTTTTCTGAAACTGTTGTGGTCTTTTGTATCTATTCGAAGTGGCTTATGCGAACATTTTTGGCTGGTTTGCATGATTTGCATGCCCATTAATGCAGCTGCAGGCCATGCTGATGTCTACGCGAACAAGCACATATTAATAATAATAATAATTCCACAACAACAACAAATTCCCAGTTTGTGTGAGACTCAGCTGGAGTCTTCCCCAAGAATGACAGAAATCTATGCAGAGAGTAGTAGACAGATGACAATTGGTACGAAAATAACCACCCAGAACAATCTATGCAGTAATACAATGATGAAAACTGGTAGGGAAATTACCACCCGGAAGATATATTATGCAAAAACGGGAGTGGAGGGGTACTAGCCTATACAATACCTGCTACTATGAGTAGTATTGTAGTGCACTCATTGAAGTATCACATAACAGATCAAATAGCTGGGATACACACGTATAGGAAGTCAAAACACTGCCTGATCATAATTATAGCCAAGGCAATCTGAAGTGTTCACCACCCGTTCTCCTACACCAGAGTGATCTTGTCACCCGCATGGTAGAGTGTCACAATCCAGTACAGGTTACCTGTGACGTTCGGGATGGTTTCTGTGGCGCCCGTTCTCTCGTGTCTACCAGTGAGAGTGTGACGATCATGATCAACGGTGAGATGAATGACGTCACCAGTTTGCCAGGGCTGACCAAGGGCTGTGCCGGTGTGGTAGTCACCAGCACTACAGCCAAACCAACCAAAACACTGTGCCTTGTCCTGTTGGTAGTTGCCCGTCAGTTTTGGATTACTGGATGAACAGGCGGAGAGAAAGATGTGACCACTTCTGGTATTGTCAATCCTCACCTTCAGTGTACTGCTACCAGTACCAGTGGCCATGGGTGTGGTACATGCTGATTTATAACTATCACTAGTGCAAATCAGTGAGCGACCATCATTGGTGATACTCAAAGCTCTGGCACAGCGATTTCCATCAAAATCTGGAGTCGCTGACACCACCAGCTTCTGTGGACTACCCTTCAGGGGGACACAGCCGATCTTGGCTGAGACGTTGTAGCAACCAGCTTGTAACGGAATATGTTCAGCCTGTATACGTCCAGAGACAGGTGTAAGCTGTGTACACACGTTGCTTGTGTCCTCGTCAAGACCGGATATTAATATCTCCAGTCCAATGTTGTCCAGTTGTTCTTGCTCCATGTTGCTTGCGACAATACTGTCCGGTAGCTCTATGGACATGCTGAAATGATCACTGATAAGGGCTTGGGCGGGGCACTTCAATGTACCATCAGCAACATCCAGCACTGCTCCAGTCTCGCTGATGTCATTGAGTAGTGATGTGGTGTCCGTCGTGCCAAACACGATGCCACTGGTGACACAGGGCTCTTTCTCGTCCTCAGCAGTTTTCATGGCCTGCGTGATAGACGCATCCAACCAGGACCACACATGGAGAAGTTCAATGTCATCCTGGAATGAGTGCAGAATGCTGGCAGCACTCTCTCCTTTCGACACACACTCCTGAAGCTGGTGTAGTTGCTTCTCGAGAGGTTCCAGCTTCCTCAACCTCAGCTCATCCAGCTCGGTTAGAAGAGAGTCCTCCCGTTTCTTCACAGCCTCCGCCAGTGGCTTGAAGAAATCAGAAACCTTCTCCGAAGCGAGCTCTGTTTGACTGTGTACCATTCGAATGTTCTTCTCCACGGTCTCTATGGCACTGCTGACAACACCATCACATTCGGATGTGCAGTTGCTCAGCTTACCAGAAAGTGCATCACGAGCGCTTTGTGCAGCACTGGCAATATCCATCACCTTGTGTTCATCATGTCTGTGTGCTCCAGTACGTACGCACTGTGGACACAGTAGCTGATTGCAATCCAAGCAAAACTGTTTCAGCACTTCAGTCGTGTGTAGAGCGCATCTCTGCTGGACCAATCTGCCACTGCTGATTGCTGACTCGATACTGGAGGCAGACAGCCTCTTGATCGTGTGGTCTTTACCTGATCTAGACATTGGATGGCCAGTACCGTGGTGCTCACAGAATTTGACGTTGCAGTTCTCACAAACCGCTGTAGCTGGCTTCCTATCCCAGCACTCGTCACAGGTTTGAATGACATGATCCCGGTCTGCAGCCGCTCCAGTCAACTCAGTATCGCTTGCTTGAACGACATTCGGTAGCGATCGCATTGGATCCAGGCTAACAGGCAATTGCGTAGCGGACAAGCATCGCGGACATTTTATGCAGCCATCAGATCCCAAGCTGTTCTGCAGGCACGGCACACACAGTGCGTGCAAACACGAAACAAACTTTAGAGTGGTCGTGGACGATCCACAACCACCGCACTGCACCACGGAGGACATTATCTCGCACGCCTGGCATGAAAGACCTCAATTTTCGGACAGTCTGAATCAAGGAGTCACGCTTTGCTTTCACGCTGAGAAGTGCAGTAAATAAAATTTATAACGTACCAGTACCATGAGTACCGACGGTACTCATGGTACTGGTCCGTTATACATTTTCCCGGTCCGTCCGTAGTCTACTACTGACAGTAGTATTGTACTTGTCAGTAGGTCTACGTACATGTAGCTGCAACGTACATCTACACCCGAACCACCACTGTTGTTCTTTTACTGACTGTAGATGTAGATCTACTGTCTGTACATGAGTCTCGTTGCTAAAACAAATCTGGCCAATGCTGCACAGTCATGGTGCTTGTGGCTCAATGTAGCTGAACCATCGGACCTTATTTGTCAGCTTGGATCACGTGATCCATCCAGCTGCCGCGTGCGGCAAACAGCCCAAATAGCGCTAACTCTGGCCTGCGAGCGTTTGCTGCAACTAGCGCGCTAGCGCTCGTGACATACACAAACGCGCTAGCCAGAATGCTTTGACTTTGATGGCTTTCAAGTTTAGTTAGTTAGTTAGTTTCAGCTTCTATTTTTTGAAAAGTAGCGCGCTCAGACCAGCTCGCTCACTCTTTTTCTCTTCCATTTTTTAGGGCAATTGTTTTGTTTGATAGACGAAGCTTAGGGTCTCTTTGGGTTTGCAACCCTTACCCTCCTGGAAAAAATCATAGTTGTGCTAGACTGCGACACTTCAGACCAGGTACTATTAGAGCCGCTAATGGACGACGAGCTATTTTCCGCTATCCGGAGCTCAAGCATTTGAGCCGCTAAATGGACGAGACTCCTGGGGTAAAGGATGCAGAGAATGAGGAGAAAACACTCGTATGGAGCAGGGAGTAGGTATTGTACTACTTCCTGGTATGGAGCACTGAGAAGCGGTAAGTCTTAGGGCAATTCTTAGCCAGTAATTACTTTCTCGCCATAATTATGTTCTCGTTTTTCGTGTCTTCTGTAATGCCAGTACACTAGCAGTACGAGAGTCCATAAGCCAGAGTGTGCAGCTCTCCATCTATGCAGCATAAACAAATTAATGACAAATTTCCTTTGCCTAAGGGCTGGGTTCCACTGCCGCTCCGCCGCACATCATCCACGGCATGAAACGTCATCATTACGAGCTGGTCCAGCGAGGCCGCGGCTCATCACCAGCTTTCGCTTCGCTGCTTGATACAAAAAAAATGCAAGCCGCGGTCACGGCTTGCATTGTTTCCCGCACTTAATTGTTTTATTCGGGGGAATTTTAATTCGTTGCACAGGCCAGAACACGAGGATTTTTTTGGATTTCACGCGCGCGCAGGCAGGCTAAATGTCATAAAAAAAACGTCGAGCACGATCGCGGTACCGTGAATGGCGAGTGTCACTGGAACCGCGCCGCTCTGCTGCATGCAGCCAAGTACCGTGGAGCAGCGGAGCTGCGGAGCCGCAGTGGAACCCGGCCCTAACCAAACTTATAGCAATTTGAAAATGTTTGACAATTTTTCATAAAAAACTTGACAACATTGTTCTTCTGTAGAGTGCCGCTGGCAACTCCATCGATGAACTCCATCAATGAGCGCAGGGATAAAGTTTAGAAACCCTTCGAGCGAGAACGTGTTTTCAAAAAGGAAGCACAAATATGCCGCGTAACTTCCCCTCTAGTACTGTATGGCCCCATCAAAGCCACTCGCTGACTACTTACCAGTAAAATGGGGTTGGACGGTTGTCAGATTAGCTGACATGTTTTCTGCCAACACAACCATAAGCAGTTGTCAACTCTCAAGACTAAAAGAGCTTGCGAAGAAAGTGAGAAACCTTGGCTATGAAAGCACATGAAGCGTCAGAACATAATCGAGCAAACTTGGACCTAGATTACCAGTGTCTGCTCCAGAGCCGGGTCAGTGGCCCTGTTTGTGAGTACTTGGACCTTTTGGAAAAAGAACACTGGGTTACCTGAGACCCGGTCGGAAGTCCTGTCGAGTACTATACTTTTTTATACCGTTCGAGGGTATACCGCCACTGACAGGCTGCATACGCGTGCAGATGCGTGCGGCCAGAGTGCCCAGTGCGAGTACGTTCATACATGTACATGTACAATCATGTACATCAGGAAGTCGAAAGTAAGTTTACGACTCCCTGACACACAGTAGCCGCACTTGAACGCATCTGGCTCTGGCCCAGTGTTGCAGGAATTGTGCCAGGTAGACGTGTACCCGGTTTGTGTTAAATCTTAGAGCAGGTACTGCATACCCTATCATATCTGTGTACATGGGTAGACAGAGTCAGTGTTGTTGCGTCCCACTCAGTACCCTTCTGGTTCATTTCGGCACCAGCACTCTTTGCGTATGCAGAGTTGAGTAGAGTGCAAGTTCGGACCACAAGTACACTGCAGCGGCTAGTAGCAAACCTAACCTGTGCCGTGATGCCCGGCACGTGTGTGCATCTACTTCATCCCTGAGCAACACACCTGGTATATTGTGCACAATAGGGCACAGGAAATAATCAGCATGCATCGCAGTTTTCTGCAACATATTCCTGAAGTCACTTTACACCTCAGAAGAATTGCGTCGCTGACTGGAATTCGATACCGGTTTAGTTTCTCTCTGGGTCATTATCAATCATAGAAAACCCGTCATACAATAGGTTCAAGCTAAAGTACCGTTTCACCATGGTAATTCCTGGAAATTCGGTGTGTTTTCTGCCTTTTGTTAAACAAGCAGCAATGTGCAACAGAAAGTACCATGGTGATACAGTAGATTACCGTGTGAAGCGGTGTGAGATGCAGCAAAGGTGAGCTTGTTACTGTGAGTCTATGCCCTAAACAATAAACTTTGCCGTGGGATGATTATCCTTGGGCTGCACACTCTGCACACTTATTGCTAGGTATATCATTTGTCTTGTTCGAATCGTCCATTACGTCTGCAGCTGTTCAAACTTGTTTTGTTGTTTATTATTTTATTGATTTATTTATTCTACTTGCCTTTCCTATCTTCTTTTGTTTAGCATTAGGCGATTTGATCGCAGGACAAGAGAGGAGCTGATGGACGATCTCTCCAGTGTCCCTCTTGGTTCGGAGCAGCGCCGAGTGCTGACGTTGGGACTTGGGTAAGGATGAGTGTTCCCTCATGTTTACAAGTTATCCGTTTTGTCCAACACTAACGGTTATATGCAGAATACTGCTGAGTCAAAAATGTGCAACAATTAGCACAAAAACTGACTGATGAGATCATGACATTCAACGACCTGATGCTTAGCTGCATCACGTTTATATCCTTAGTGTTGGACAAAACGGATAACTCGTAAACTGATGGTCCTCTTTTTCAATTTTAATCCTTGGCTCTCCATCCGAGTTCCCTCGTGTGTGTAGCTATTATTATTTTTTTGGTGACAGTCAATTTTTTCTTCAGACTTTTCCCGTTTGTGTCTTTCCCTCAAACTAGTCAATATTTTTATTTACTTATTTTTTTGCCCAGGGTCTATATTCTACCTTTATTTTACTTAGACTAGGGTTAGCTGTCCGTTTACCAGTACTCATCCACACATATGTGCACATAGGATCTACACAGAACTCTATCAGTAGATATTTTGTGTATAGGAGGTTGTCTATCCACCGAGATAGCACTATATACTCCCATTCTGTGTGTTCTCTGGTAGCTATGTCCCTTGGAGACTATACGGTGCCAGTGTGGTGACCGAGATCAGGCGTGTCTGCACTGGCATCGTCAACTTTGCCTACTGCTACGTGCTCCCCAGTGCTCCATCTGTGTCCTGTAATTTGTTTGGGGAGGGGGGGGGGGGCAATACCGGTACTTCAGGTGCAGGGGGCAAGGGGGGAATGGGGTGGGGGAACATCATGCCCCCAATGAACCTCTCCAGGCGTTGTTCTGGAGTAGACTAACCATAGGCGGAGTGTACACATGCAGCACATAGTTTGGGAGCTAGAACGCAATCGGACTCAGGCATATTCAAAGTCAGTCTATTGTGATAGTAGTCCTGGACTGATCTCACTATGATGATATAGGTCGTGCCCAGCATCACAATGCCAAACATTATAAATGACTGTTTTTTTTTGCCTGAGGGGCTAGATGAGCATGCGGCTAGACTGCCGATGGCAACCAACAGGCTCAAGGCTGCGTTGAGACTTCGTGTGAGCGACCCGAGTCAATTGTTTACTCACCATGACTAGGCATCGCATTGAGCATCGTATGCCCACTAATATAATATATTATGTCACTGTTCTTAGTCGCACCGGGGGCGCATGCCCGTTTTCAGGAGACTTCTCAAAACACATAAGCCCTGGGTCCTGAAGGTTAGGCCTATTGTTAATCTAAATAGTCCTGGCTACTATCCCGCTGAGTTCACTGACTTTCTACTGAACCCGTATGTATGTGAGGAAAGTACTGTTCTGACCTCAACTGCGGATTTCATCAACTTGGTAGAAGGTTTGCCTGTGCGGGACGATCATTTATAATTGAGCATCGATGTGACCAGCCTTTACTACACCAACATCCCCAACGAGCTCGGTTGTCGTGGTATATCACACACAGGTGTACAAGGTGGATGCCCCTCGCCCTTCGTACATGGTTATTAACAGCAGTGACTTCCTTGATGTCAGTCATTCGGAAGAAAAATGAGTTCGTGTATGGTAACGATGTGTTTCGGCAGATCCAAGGGACTGCCATGGGTTCGCCTGCAGCAGTGGTCTATGCCGACATTGTTATGCTGTATTTGGAGAAGCAGTACGTTTTGCCGATCTTAGAGGGGGAGGGTTTAGAGGTTCAGGTTTATAGACGCTTTATAATTGCATGGTTGCGAAGGTCAAGCTCAGCGCACTTTAGATAGGATTAATAAGTGTTCGGCCCTCAAGTTTTCTCATGAACTGGCACATGATGGCATTGATTTCCTGGACACCACAGTTTTCCGTAGTAAGGGATACATGGCGGTGAAGCCTCATTTCAAGTTCACCAATCGTTTCCTGTATCTGCTTGTCGGTAGTAACCACCCCTGTAGTATGGGCAAAGGTGTGTTCACTGGGGAGTTGATCTGTATCCGTCGGTCTTCGACCCTTGACCACCACTACGAAGCTGCTGCCGAGCGGCCGAAGCAGGCTTTCCGGGCCCGTGTATACAAGCGCTCCATCTTTCATCTTTCAGACCCGTACACTAGGAATGGATGCGCAGGGAAGGTATGTTGGTCAAATTGGCATGGGTTTGGGTTATTTCTGTAGTTGTATACAGTGCTCCTCATTGTATTTACCTGGGCCTGGCCTGCTGTCCTTCGCCCGTTGGTCTTGAGGTCCAGGTGTAATACCCCTACCATACAGTCCGGTGGCCAGCGCGGTTGTTGTTACACGGTGGAACATCGGCAAGAGGTTGCTTGCTCGTTTGCCTCATGCTCAGTGTCCTCAGGGAGTTAGTATTTTCCTCCTGTTTGGATTTTGCAGTGTCTATGGTGTCGGTAATTGAGTTTTTGTTCTGTATGCTTTTCTGTGGTGTGTGGCTGTTGTTCACACATCTTTATTTGACTTGCTTCCTGGTGTGGTGTACCTTTTTTGTTTTATATTGGTGTTGGTCTGGCTGTAGAGTTCTAGCATCCGTAGCTGCCTCAGGGGGTGCCACTTCTCCCATCAGCGTCGACCAGTCCGCCGGTACGTGGTGCTATATTACGTTTAGTTGTCTGTTCCATCCTGTACGGGCTGTGTCCTGCTGACCACACAGTCTGGGTTTCCATGCTTTGCATGTTCTCATCGTGTGTAGTGTTCACACGTACATATATGGACTGTCACACCCATATGTTGTACATGTGGCTGCACGTGTTGTCTCTTTGTCGTACCTGCTGCTGTATTTGTGTTTCTGTGATGCTGACCCGTACATGCTGCTGCGCTGCTTTGTTGTATTGCTGACACGTGCACCTTTTTGTGCTGATATGATATCGAGTACGCCACTTTTTGTGCTGATGAGGGCACCACTTTCCGATATCATGTTTCCTTTCGCCATGTCAGTTGTCAGTTCTCCCGTCGTCTCCTGAAGTGTAGTAATGAATAGCTCTCTCTCTAGCTCTAGAGAAAAACCACTTGACTAGTCCGTTTGATGTATGGCGTGGCGAGGGTATAGTAGAGGCAGCTCGTTCTCCAATCGAGACGACATGTGGCGCCCAACGTGGGGCTCAAACCCACGACCCTGAGATTAAGAGTTTCATGCTCTACCGACACATATATGCACGCGGCACCGTTTGTGCTCCTATCCATTTACATATGCTGCTTTCCACACCTGTGCTGACAGTCGGTACGCACCGACTCTGTACGCATGCACGCACACCATTACATTCTGTTGGCATCATATTAGTGAGGTTTTGCATTCCAAAATTCGGCAAAAGATTCGGCACGCGGGAGCGAGGTCGAAAATGCACACGAAGATGCGGCATGTTTGTTCGGAAAAAGCTCACTTTGCCGAACATATTTTTCGGATGAATTTTCTTGTGGAAGAGCGCTAGCGCGTGATTTATTCAAAGAGGTTTCTTATCTTGGCATGGCTTCGCAGGCGTCTTTGACGACATCAGCATCGTCGGCTACCTCTGATTGCTCCTCTCCACTGCCTGTCTACTCTCTTTCGCCTGGAGTGTCCTCACCGTCATCTGTGTGGCTGAAAAGACTATGGCGATACCCATAAAATTTGACTTGGCCATGGAGTTGGTTTTTCTGAGGCGACTGAGGAGGCAGGTTTGGCCCTCAACTCTTTGGGCACGATCAAAGTTTGTCGGAATCAGCAAGAAAAGGAGCACGGGACAGGACATTGCTGATGCTGGGGCTCACGAAATCAAAACACATCATTTTCGACTTGCAAAACAAACGTCGGTGCGAAAATTCGACATTTTGATGTTCGACAAATTACCAAAGAACGCCAAGCCGAAATTCGGAATGCAAAACCTCACTATTGCGGAGCTTTCCGGAGCTCCGAGTTAGTTGTTGTTTAGAATACAGCAAGAGAACAACATTACATTGGCGCTGCGAGCAAACGCCTGATCCTCGCCATGTCCCTACTGTCACTACCGCCTCCGGAGCCATTCCCGATCTACAGCAGTCTCTACGATGCTGCTGCCCATTTTCCTGCCTGGGAACGGTGTTTCCAACTCTATGTCGCAGCAGCCGGCATCTCGGATGACACTCGCCAGAGAGACACTTTCCAGTATGTGGCCGGCAAGGACATCCAGCCGCTCGTCCCTACGTTAGCCAACACTGGCAACGATCTCGACGGCCTCATAACCGCCGCCGCCGACTACTTTCAGTCGAAGCAGAGCCCCAGCATGGCCCGCTTGCACTTCCGGCAGGTCACCCAGCAGCCTGGCGAAACATTAGACACGTTTTATACTCGTTTGCTGGCGCGCATAATAACATGCGCATGCGCGCGAAGAACCACAAAGTAAAATCTGATCGCGTGAGTCAAGTTTACATGCGCCCTGCACGAGCAGTCGAGCACACGCCCGCGAGTAAGAATACTACAGCAGTACAGGTTGCACTTAGTCATACATGTAGGTGTTTTGTTTGTATAGTGTGTGCTACATTATAATACAATTGATCACTCTCTTACTGTATTTGTATTGACTCCCATTGATTTTCACTACATGTAGACCTACAAGCAGTCAAATATTTCTGCATATTTCACTCCTTAGGGCTATATTGACTGCTTATTTTTGACTGCATGCTTATGGGTTGCGCAGTTGAACGGTGCCTAGTGCAGCATGGTCACTGTATGCGTAGGTGATGGTGCAACGGTTGTGCAATCATAAAACCGGGATTCACGAGGTTATTATTATCGTTCTGGAATTTGAAATACGGACTGTTTGTCGTGATAAATCTAATATTGACTTCGTACTTGGTCAGTGTAGCACATGCAGTAGTAATTATTTAACTCTAGAACAACTCAACGGTGTTGTCTGTTGACACACGAATTCAAAGAGCGCCGATCAGTTTGAGCCGACAAAGTGCCAGGGAATGTCGATGAGCAGACGATCAACTTCCCTCCCACCCTCTTCTCTTAGCTTCAATGAAACCGTGATCAGAGAGGGCTGATACAGACGGAGGGTGCTTCAAGCCTTCGAAGTCTTGCACCATGCAGTTCTCTCCTAGAAGTCGTGCAGAACGTGCCCACCCTACTCATCCGACTCCGCACCTGAGAATGCAGGGAGATGACGTGTCTGATGTAACGACTCACCGACACCTTGGGGTCATCTTGGACGACAAAGTTTCGCCAGCGAGCAGTCCTGCTGATCCACATGACCAAGCGTATCCCCCCAGCCGTAGCCAGCCGCTTGTACACTGGATATGTTCGACCTGTGGTTGAATGCGCCTCATCCCTCTGGCAATTTCAACTCTCCAGTGCTCAGGCTACTACCCTTGAACGGCTACAGGCAAGAGTGGCACGTGTGATCCTGCGGAAGTATGGCGTGTACCCTCCTCAAACGGAGCCAAAAGCCTCACTTTTCGCGCACCTGCTGTGGCCCAGCCTCGCATGTCGAAGACACATTCAGTGCCTTCTTGAGCTCCACCACCTTTTCAATAGCCAGATGACGACCCTGGAGGACCTAGGCTACTCAGTGTCAAACAGCGCCAGGCGCCCCCAACATCTACTCCCACCTGCAAGAGCCAGCACACAGCCAGCGATTGCAGTGGTGATGTCGGAGGTTGTGGTGGTGAGAAAGAGGGATCTATCCCAGAATATAATTTATAGCTTTAGTCGTAACTTGGGTCGCTTGTGCGAACATGCGTGTGATTACCAGCATTCATGCTGGCCAACCCTCCCGGTTTTCCCGGGAAAATCCTGGGAAATCAACACTACTCCCGGGGTCCCGGGGATTTCAATTAAACTCCCGGAAAAGTCACAGTTTTGTCTGATATAGGATTTTCCTGAAAAATCCATGGATTCGCCTAGAATGTTCCGGTTTTTTTCAAAAATATGACTGTGCCCATTCGCACTTCTAACTGTGCATGGCACTTTCAAGACCTGACCACTGCGGCCTAGCCTGCAAGATCTGCGCTGACAAAGTGACAGGCGGGCGCCGACTGATCTAACTGCACAGCAGGGTCGAACTGTGTACGCAGATCTGCAGAGTCGAACGTTTTTTTGGCGGGAAAAGCTATTTTTTCACTAGTTGTTGTGCCATCCAGGGATTTTGAGAGAAATCCAGGGATTCTGCATGTCTTTTCTAGGGATTTAGATTTTGGTGGTTGGTCAGTATGAGCATTTAGCCGGGCACTTTTGTCTTCTGTTCAAGTACTCTTCACCAACATAATTATTTCGGTCTGTAAATACACTATTAGGAGAATTGATCAGATTGTAAAGAGAAAGTTCCAATACGTTGCGAGTTATGACTAACAGTGCACCTAGGTAACGAGATCTTTCTCTTTACTTATCATATTGGCTCACCATCCAAGTTTTAATAATCAGATTGTGAGAATGAAAGGGAAAAAAGTCTGAAGAGATCCAACTGTCACCACCAACTCTAGACTAGGCGGGGATATTGTACCTAACACGATGACTGGGAGAAAAAATATGCCTGGCAGTTATTGCAGCACTACATCACGGTCCTATTGTACAAACACTGACATAGGTATTGCTGTGCTTCTCAACTGTACTGTTTGCTACAGGTGTGCAGAGATATTCCTGGTCAATGTGCCAAGAGTCAAGTGCCACCGACGGATCCTACAAATGCTTCCATCCCTGACCCATTACCCCGGCCCAGCCTGACAGACGTAGTAAAGCTGGTTGCCATGGAATCCTCTGCCGCGCAGTGCAAAGTGGACACAACATCGGGGCCAGGCGCAAACTGCCCTCTGGAGCAGGAGTGTCGCGACGTGAATTTGCTAGCTCAAGGTGGGGCAGATGACACTGAGCTTAGTCCTTCAACTGTCTACACCGCTGCGTTCGGCATTCTCAGCGGGAAATCCTTTGCACTCTCTGCGCAGACTCTGATTGATGAATTCAATGGCCACAGTACTATCCAATCCGCAAGTACTTTTAGTGAGTTGAATGACAGGGAGCTTCAGGTCCCTAAGCCCTTCCAATTTTCTCCCCTCTTTCTTTCCTCTTTCACCGTCTTTCATCCTCAAGCATTACCTACTCGTCAGTTTTGGAGAGTCGCTACTTGGACTCTTCGTTCTTTTCGTCTAGTTTATTGTGAAACTTGCTCGGTTGATGTTTGTGCTGTTTTAGAAAACTAACGTTAAAATGATTATTGACGAATGCACCTAGTGTCTGTTGTTCGGTGATGTAGCACGGTGTTGCTTTCATTACCCACAGACCACACGGGACACGGTGGACTGGGCACGGGTATTGGCCCTCGTCTACTGCCCCACTTGCCGCGAGAGCGAGAGAGAGAGACAGCGAGCGGGAGAGAGAGAGACAGCGAGAGACAGCGAGACAGAGAGAAAGAGAGAGAGAGAGAGAGAGAGAGAGAGAGAGAGAGAGAAAGAGAGAGAGAGAGAGAGCGAGAGGAAGAGAGAGAGCGAGAGAGAGAGAGAGAGAGAGAGAGAGAGAGAGAGAGAGAGAGAGAGAGAGAGAGAGAGGAGAGAGAGAGAGAGAGAGAGAGAAAGAGAGAGAGAGAGAAAGAGAGAGAGAGAAAGAGAGAGAAAGAGAGAGAGAGAGAGATAG